AACGATACTTGTCCAATACATCGTGTTGGCGGGGGTTGAAAAAGCTCTCCCACAGCATTTCGGGTAAGAAGACGTCGCAGCAGCCACCGCCAGACGATTTTGCCGACACGTTGCGCGACATCTTCGCTGGGGCAGCGGAGGACGTGCCGCCGCCTTCCCTCACAGAGGCGCCGTTCACCATGCAGGAGACTGACAGGGGCATCCGGCGTTTGGGATCAAACAAGGCCCCGGACGAACGTGGCCTAGTGGCGGGAATGTTGAAGCACTCGAATGTTGAACTGAAAGAGATATTACTTACGCTGTATAATGCTGTGCTTGCTGGCGGGGAGGTTCCGGAATCATGGCACAAGACGTTCTTCATCATGTTGGCAAAGAAGACGCACGCCAAGGCAGTCGGAGATTTTCGACCTATAGCGAGCATCCGTCTTCTCTACAAGTTGTTTGCATACATGTTGCTGGGGCGCGTCGAGCACGTGCTAGAGTCGCAACAACCAGAGGAGCAGCACGGCTTCAGATCTAATAGGCGTCTGGAGGAGCATCTTCTGACAACAACTCTTGTCATCGAGAAGACTTTGGCGGCGAATGTTCCGCTCTGGATCGTGAGTTTGGACTTATCAAAAGCGTTCGACCGAGTATCTTGGGCTGCGTTGTGGGAGGCTCTGCGGCAGCTCGGCGTCAACGACCATCTGATTTGGACAATGCACCGTCTGTACCGTGACCAGGAAGGGCAAGTCTTGGGCGATTGGGCCAGAAGCCAAGCATTTCCGATCAATGCTGGCGTTCGCCAACGGTGCGTGCTCAGCCCGGTTCTTTTCACAGCTGTCTTGGAGTGGGCCATGCGTGCGTGGAGAGCTCGCATTTCGCATCTTGGATTTGATTTGGGCGACGGTTTAAGGCCGCTCATAGACTTACGCTTTGCCGATGACATCATATTGTTTGCCAAATCAGCGGGCGAAACCAAATTGCAGCTGGACGCACTGGTCGACGAATTGGCCAAAGTTGGGTTGGTTCTGAATGCGGCCAAGACGGTGGTGATGACAACAGAGGCGCAACCTCCACAAGAAATTGCCACGCGGGCCGGCGCAACAATCCAAGTCCTCCCCCGGAGTACCGCCCACAAGTGGTTGGGATGCATGCTGTCCGTGGGTGGTTCTGGAACGCACAATTTGGACGAGGAGTATCATCTGACATCCGCAAGCAAAACTTTCTTTGCAAACAGGGACATTCTATGCGACCGGAATGTTTCTCTCGCTGCCCGGCTTGAGTTTTTCAACCGCGTCGTGACGTCAGTGGCGTGTTTCGGAGCTGGTGTCTGGAAGCCGTACAGCGATTCACTGCACGGGGTAGACGTTGCATTCCGGCGTCTGATGCGGCAGGTCGTTGGCCCGCCTGCAGGCGTGGATTGGTCCCAACCGTGGCATGAGACTCTGCACTTATGGCACGAAAAGCTCAGCCAAGCATTGGCGGAACATGGTCTTCGCACATGGTCGAGAGAGTCCATGAAAAAGTATTGGGATCTGGCAGCATACGCTGCGGGTTTACCTCCTGATCGGTGGGTGCAGAGAGCCTTGCATTGGACGCCGTCGGGATCACGCTCACAGGGTCGTCCTCTTCTGTCATGGGACGCGAAGCTATCCTCGTTCTGCCGGGCGAACCACATCGGACCGTGGCAAGAAGCTGCACAAGATTACTCAGCATGGGTGGAAATGACAGAAGATTTCCTGGACTTCTGCACGTCGACGTGAGCAGGCGCGATGCTTCCTTTGCGCACCAGGCCTGAATAGTGACTGGCAGTTGATTTTTTCCCTCGCGCCCTATATGGGCCCGCCCTCGTGCGAGCGGGGTGACTTGACTTGATTTGACGTTCACCGCAAGAGTTAGACATAAGCGACACTGAAAAACAACTGCCAATACTCAGAGCACAACCCCGGCCGCGGCCCCTCCTTCTCCTCCTCTGCCTCCGGGCTTGCTCCACCTCTCCTCTTGCGTCCCTCGTGCGGCCAGGTTGGGGCGTCGTCCAGTGGGATGCTGTGCAGCGCGTCCTGCGCATGACCATCGGCTCGACCCCGTCTGGGATGCCGCAGTCCGCCGTCTGCGCAGAGCACCAATGCCTTTTCACGGGCGCCGAAATTTAGGACGGCACGTGCACGTACATGCGTGTGTGATTGTTCTTCGGTCCTGGGGTCGGCCAGGCGTGGGACGGCCCAAGCGGGCAAGTCCCACGCCTCCGTTCGCGGGCTTTTAGCGGGCCCTCTCTCGGCAGGACCAGGCTTACGCGGGCCTGGGCAAACAAACATCGCACGTGCACGTCGTCGAGCAGCCTGCCACCCAAGCAGAGTGGGCTGCCTGGCCCAACGACCAGGCCGAGAAGGCCGCGAAGTTAGGAGCTCGCCTCCACGGCACCTCCGCCTCCCTCGTCGCCGATCACGAGGGCCAGCTCGCGTGGATGACGCATTTCTTTCGAGGGGTCGCCCGCGTGCTGTGCACGGGCCCCACCCCGAAGCAGGAATGGGCCGACCTGCGCAGGCCGCCCGCCTCTTGCGGGGTAGCCGCCATGTCGGCAAGAATCGCTGGCAATGCGTCCGCTACCTGCAATGCAAGGCGACGCGCGAAACCGCTATCGATCGTAGAGAGCGCCGAGGAGTCGAGGGTCGGCCTCCCAGTGTTGCCCGTGTGCGGTCGCGCTTGGTCTCCCACGGCGTCGAATGGTGTGAGCTCTCGGCCAAGCCTGGAGCTCGCGTAGGCGAGCGTTTGCAAACGCGCTCCATGCACGCGACCAGCAAGCCTGCTGGCCTCGGGCGCCCTTGCCCCGCCGGAAAAATCGCCCTGGGTGAAGACAACTTAGGCGGCGCTGCACAAGCGGAAGTGCTCAATGAACCCGTGCCTACGAATGTATGGGCCTGCGCGTTGCGCCGTTTTTCGCTCGCTGGCTCCATTGGGCCTACTTCGCAGGAGAAGAACATCTCCTCCATCTCCCCTCTCCCTCCTCCTCCCCCTCCTCCGGATCCTCCTCCTCCTCCTCCTCTTCCTCCTCCTCCCTCCACCGCCCACCCCATGTCTCGAGCCTGTGAAAGGGTCATCAGTTCGTCGTCATCGTTGTCGTCGTGGTCATCTTTGTCGTCCTTCTGTCATCTTTTGTCGTCCTTCACAATATTGACCCCAGTGGTCCGAATACATCCATATTCACCGCCCGCTGAGATCTCCGAAGATCGATCCCCCATGCGGTGGCCATGTATGGGGAAACCAAAGGTACCGAGAACACTACTCACCACTACTCCCCCGGGTGCGCTCAAAACCAGAATTTCGGACCGAGATCAGCGGTGACGACGTGGGCCTCCCCGGGAGAGGCCCAAGACGGCGAAGACGAGGGAGAGGGAATACTGGTATGGGCTACCTTCTCCCCCTTGGATGTCCCTCCCTCCCGCCCTCCCATTGGGTCGCCCGGCGCACCCCCCTCTGCGCACACGCCCCCACCGCGCTCGCGCGAGCCGTAGCCCGGCCGCCGCGCGGGCGCCCCCTGCATCGCGGGCGGCGTTCCCGCCGAGGCCGCGCGGCGCGGGCGGGGGGCCCCCCCCGCGGTGGGGAGGGGCCTCCTCGAGCGGAGAGCACGGGGGGGAGGAGGACGACAGGGGCAAGGAAGACAAGGGAACCAGAAACGGCATCAACGTGAACCGTCGGAACTCCGCCCGGATTTCCTGGGTCGGCGCTGGGCCCCGTTGGCGGCGCCTCCGGCGCCGCCCCTGGCGGGGTTCAGCGCCGATCCAAGAGGAGGGAGGCGGAGGGGCAGGGGGACGGAGGGGGAGGAGGACGGACGCACACACGAACGAACAAGCCTCGGATCCCGCCGACTCGTAGACTAGCGAGCCCTCGCATCGCTGGCCGATTCGCATTCGGGATCTTTCTTTTGCACGCCCGAGATGGGTACGGAAAGAAGGGGTACAATGCCCAACAAGAAATGCTGTCCCAAACCAACAGCGGCCGCTGTTGGGCAGGCGGCCTTCTGTCTCGAATGGACACAGGCCGCGGCGGCGTGGACAGCGAGTCCTGTTCAAAATGAACAAGATCAACTGTTGGGCATTATACCCATTCTTTCCGTGCCCATTTCGTTCGTGCAGATTTCTGAGATCATCCAGGCAACCAATCACCACCATCCTGTCAGGAGTTTGGCAATGAGGGAAAAGAGAAGGCGAAGTGAAGGGCGAACCGGGCAGGCGGGCCGTCGCACGGGGCGCTCCTGGCCGCTGCTCAGACTGGCTCCGACGGCGTCAGGCCCGCCACGAAAAAAGACGAGGAGGAAACATGAGGTAGGGAGAGAGGTGGTGTGAGGAGGGAGGAGGGAGCGGGAGGGAGGGTGGGAGGGAGAGGGAGCGGGAGGGAGGGAGGGAGAGATGGAGGGGGAGGGGGGGTGGGGGTGCTGGCGGGCTGCGCAGCCTTGAGGGTGGCTGGTCCCTGCTGAGGCGAGGGACGAAGGGCTCGCCCTTTCGTGCGGCGGCGCCTGTCTGGCACTGCAGGAGAGAGGGGGGGGGTAGGAGGAAGGGAAGAAGGTGCGGGAAGGGCAGGGGGAGGTGGTTGATGCGAGGCAGTGGGCAAAGGAGAAACCTCCATCATCGCTCCTCCAGCTTCAGTGTGGCATGCCCTCGCCAAGCCTGAGTCCAACCAACAGAAACCTCCCGCGTTTTCTCCCCCGTCGCCCTTGTCCTCCTCCTCCTCCTCCTACGACTCCTCCGCATCCCTTTCCTATCAGTGTCCTCCTCCCCCTTCTCATGCAACTCTCTTCTCCTCCCTCCTCCCCCGCCTGCCCCATTCCTCCTCCTCTCGGAGCAGGGCGAACCGAGACAACGGCAGCCTCAAATCGGCCCACAGCCCTCCCCCCGGGGTCCAAACGTACCAATCTTGCGAGCCGCATCCAGCCGTGGCGACGACGGGGCCCCCGCAGGCCTGCGACCCGCATCTCCATTCGCCCTCATCTGATCCTCCCTCATTCCTCGTCGGCGGGGCGCCTGGGCTCGACAGCCCCTTCACTCCCTGCCACTCCCTCACCTGGGCGCCCTTTATGAAGACCACGGCGCCCTCCTGCGGAGGCGGAGCGCCGCGGGAGCGAGCGAACCGCCGAGAGGCCCCGCTCGGGGGCTGCGGGGGGGCGGGGCGGGGGGCAACGATCATAGGAATCGAGCAATTGTACAGGTCCACATCCATCTTCCGCCCTCCCCTCTCCTCCGCGTGCCGCATGGCAAGATCGGCATGAGGGGCCAGGTGTCTCCTCGGCATGACGGGCGGCGGTCTGCATCAGCGTTGCGTGGCGATCACTGCCTTGTCCCACGGTCCGTGCGACTCATCCGAACAATCCCACCAGCCCTCTGGGCGTCCGTGGTTTAGGGCGTTTCCTCTTCCACCCCTCCCTCTTCCCCTTCGGGGAGGGGTTTACCCCTCCCCCTACCCCCTCCCCACTGACCTGGACAGGAGGGGCGGGGAGCGGTCAGAGCGTCCAAAACAGCCTCGGCGAGGAAGTCAAAATCATTGATTTTAGCAGGGTTTTGGCCCCATTTTGGCCTCCTGGGGGGGCACCGCTAATTAAAGCTCAGCTCTTCTTTGATAGATCTCCTCCAAGATGGCACAAAGAAGCGCCCAGGAGGCCCCAAGAGGTCCCAAGATGGCCCCAAGATGGCCCCAAGAGGCCCCCAAGAGGCCCCCAGAAGGCCCCCAAGAAGACCCTCAGAGGCCCCAAGAGGCCCCCCCCCCCCGAGGCACCCAAGACCCCGAAGAGCCCCCCAGGATCGCCAAGAGACCCCCAAGACGTCCCAAGAGGCCCCCAAGAATCGCCCAAGAGATACTCCAAGAGGCTCCTAGAGGCATCCAAGAGACCTCTGGCCCTTGTGCTTGCCCTCCTCCTCCTCCTCCTGTTCCTCCTTCCTGCTCCTACTCCTTCTCTTCCTCCTCCTCCTCCTCCTCCTCCCTCCTCCGCCTCCATCCTCCGTCTTCCCACTCCCTCATCCATCCATCCATCCACCTCCTTCTCCTCCTCACTCCTTTGCACGGTTCGGCCGTCCTCCTCTTTGCTGCCGCACTTCCCTGATCACCTCAACTCGCCTGGACATCGTTTCGGGATGGGCTGGTGGGGATAAGCGAAGCGTCTAGAATTGCTCACGCTCGTGGCACAAAGGCCGCCTCAATGTCGTATCCGGCCACCCTCCTCTTCTGACGCTCCCGGAGGGGAGGGCTGTCCTCCTCCAATATCCGCCAATGTTTGGCGTCGCGGCCGCGCGCGCAGCGACGCGCGGCGGAGTCCCTGGCACGGACGGCGCAGCCCTGGGACTCGCGGGCGGGGCGTCCACCAAGGGGGATATCCACACACAAACACACACACAAACACACACACACACACAAACACACACACACACACGCACGCACGCACGCACGCACGCACGCACGCACGCACGCACGCACGCGCACACGCGCACACGCACACACACACGCACAAGCACACAGACACACGCACACTCAGACACACACGCACACGCGCACGCGCACGCGCACACACACACACACACACACACGCACACACACACACACACACACACACACACACACACACACACACACACACACACACACACACACACACACACACGCACACACGCACACACGCACGCGCGCGCGCACGCGCACGCGCACGCGCACGCACACACACACACACATCCCTGAGACGAAGGCATGATGAGGACACATCGGCATGAGGACAAATTGGAAACCTCTGAGAGCTCGCGGGTCTGAAGGACGTGTCCGACGCCGCGGCCGTTCCAGCGCGCCCTAGAGCGCTCTGGGAGCGATCTGTCCTCCTCCCAGGCCTAACTGGGCAGCAGACGAGGGATGGAAGCATCGAGGCTTCTGTGCTGCAGCTGTGCGAGGCGGGGGTTCTATCCACAACCACCGCCTTTGGGATCGACCTTCGGGGACCACGACAGGCGGTGGATATGGACATAGCTGGCCACCCAGGGCTCGAGTATGCCCATATCCACCCCCTGTCCAGGTCTCCGAAGGGCGATCCCCCGAGCGGTGGTGCTGGATCAGTCCCCGCCTCGGGATTTCGCCCCTCCGCAGGCCCCCGACTGGGCAGGTCCCCGGGGAGGAGGAGGAGGAGGAGGAGGAGGAGGAGGAGGAGGAGGAGGAGACCCGATCCCATCTGGCAGGTCATCCGAGGCGCCCACACCGCCAGAAGCCCTATCGCCGCGCCAGAGACCTCGCCCTGGCATCCCGTCGGTATATAAGGCGGAACCAGCCTGCAGCAAGCCGTATGGCTCGCGAAGTGCTTTGGGCCCCCTCGGACATGAGCTTATTAAACGTGTTTAAGAGGAGGAGGAGGAGGAGGAGGAGGAGGAGGAGGAGGAGGAGGAGGAGGAGGAGGAGGAGGAGGAGGAGGGCCCATGCCCGGCGCATGTGAGGCCCCCGCCGCCCACCCCCCTCTCAGTCTTGGCCCGGAGGGCGCGTCCGCCGATCCTGGGCCTGGGGTCACTTTGGCCAGCACCGGCACGCGCGGATACTTTCGGGGAGACGTAAGACTCGGGTACGGGGGATCCCGGTATGGCCTCGCGGGGGCTATCATGAAAATGACGAGACCCAATCTGAAATTTGACGCGGGCTCCCGCTGCAAACATCCCACGAAAACGGGATCCGGCTTACTCGAGTCTTACGTTTCCCCGATACTTGGGGCCGCCGCATCCTCTGCGCACAAATCAAGAGGCTCCCTCGGGTCTCGAACCAACTCCACTGTCTGCGCTACCCCGCTTAACTCGGCTGGGCTGAAGTGGCTTTGCACGTGCTGGCAGATGCGAGAGGTCTTGAGACGGACAACAACATGGTCAGGTGCCTCTGTGTGCCACCTTTGCTCCGGCAATGTAAGCCCACTGCACTCAACATCAAGAGACATGTGCAGAGGAAGAGTTCACTGCATACCCATAAACGGTTTGAACTCCGCGCGGACTTCTTGGATCGGCGCCGGAGGCGCCGCTAGGGGGGTCCATCGCAGATCCAAGACATCGACGCGGTCCCTCGAAAGGTTTTGCTTATGCAGTTGTCCCTTCTTCGAAGCATGATCCCTCAATATGCACCGATTGCACTCGACCTCAAAGACATTTGCGCCAAGAGAAATGAGCAAGCGTAGATCCTCGAAAGGTACGTTCAGGGCAGACTGGCCCTGACGGCGGTGCGCACCGCGGAAATAGCCAGAGCAGCATGTTGCCAGCGAGGGCGTCGAGCTCAAGAGACGCGCACGACATAGCACAGAGCACAACCAGAAAGCCAGGGCCTTGGAGGCCGCCACGAGGCCTGATCTGGGTGGGCCCCGAGAGAAAAGCTCAAAACGGGCGCATAAAGGCAAATCCACTCAACATCTGATCCCCGACCCCTCCTGGGCTCAGTCTTGTATAGTTTTGCATGCTTTACCCCAGATGCGCGTTTGTCCAGGGACCCGAAAAAAAGGCCCCGGAGATTGAAAAAAGGCAAACAACCTTAACGAACCCAGAAGGTCGAACATCCTCCCCCCCCTTCCTGCTGGGCGCAGCCAGTGCTGGGGCGCCTCAGATGCCCCCGTCGGTTCCATCCAGGGCCTTCCTTCTCTACAGGTCTAGGGAACGGCACGACGAAAGCCAGAGGCCATCGTGAGCCCGAAGTGGTCGTTATTTCAGCCTCTGGAGTGCACCATCGCCACGATCCTGCTTGAATGTGCTCTACAGATCCACGCGGCGCGGAACGAACGCACCGGAGACGAGACGCGAGGGCGCATGGCTCACGAGCCGAGACTGGGGAGAGCGGGAGAAAAGACTCATCATTCCGATGCTGATGCTGCTGCTTTTCATCCTGCTGCTGCACCTGCCCCTGCAGACCTCCATACTCTGGAGAACTGTCCATGAAGAAAAACAAGCAGCAAACCAAAGATAGCCAAGCAAGAGAACACATTTTGCCCTCCCACCCCCCACCCACACACTCACACACACACCATGGACGCTGACCGCGCGAACTGGTGCGCAATCGCGGCAAGCAATCTTAGACAAACAACCCTGGCCAACAAACAATCCCCATACACCGAGCAGGAACATGCAACACTTCGCGCCCCCAAAGAAAGCAGAGCCGACGCGGGGGTCCACGTCGACAGAAGCGGGCACGGGCCAGCCCTCCTCATCCCTCCCTTCTCTCACTGTCCTCCCTGCGCTGCTCCCGAAACGAATCGCAAACAAAAATCCTCCGCACGCCGTGTAAGGTAACGGCTGCGAGAAGGCACGCGCAAACTGAAGGTCGCCCTCGCGCAGCGGGAGTTCGGCCTGCCGTGCCAGGTACCACCGTTTCCAGCGCGTGTCAAGGCCAAGCTGCTTCGCGCCTGGTTGGCAGGCCGCGGTGGCTCGTGTGAGTACTGCGCAATACCAGGTCGCCAAAATGCTGCTAGTTTGGGTGGTGGGAGTGTCCCTGGGTACGAGTGGGCACATCCGCGCGCTGGCAGAGACGCGAGTGCTCACGCGATGAGGGCTACCCTGATGCAACGGATCGTGTTCGGTCGGCCTCGGCTGCTTGCGCTGCGGCCTAGAAGCCCCGCGGCGCAGGTAGTGGCAGGTGCGCGGACGACGACAGGTGCCACTTGGCTGGAACACACCGCCGAGGTGATCCAAGCACTTGGTATTACCAGTGACTTCCCTGCTAGGCGACGCGCGCGGGTCTAGAGGCGCGCAGGAATGCGATCGAGCAGTGGAAACGCTCAGTGGTGTTGTCGGTGGTCGGAGCGCAGGCGTATGATCGAGCAGCTGGGCGCGATGGGTAATGGTGGACTCGACCGGTAGGATACTTGATTCCAGGTGGGGGGGCGGCGCTATCTCCTGGCGTACACTGGGCGCCGTGGGGGCGTACAGCGTGGCGTTGTCACCAGGCCTGGGCACTGGCGCGTGCGCCTGTTCGCGTTGCAATGGAGATATGAGTGGCCGAATGGGGGCCCAGCTGACCCGTATTTGTGCCCGCTTTGCGCTGCCAGAGGGTTGCACGCTGGTGGAGTGCCTCGGGCACCTGCTGACTGCGCTCTCTGCGCTGGTACCCCTGCGCGAGGCGACGCCATGCAACAACGTGGTACGGTGGGCTACGCGCGACGCGGAAGACATGGCCTCGCTTGCGCCACGGGTTCGCCTGGTGCGTATCGTCTCGCATGCATGGGCGATTGGCGCCATGGCGGGAGGGAAAGGGAATGGGGGAGGGTAAGGCTGAGGCGTCCGCGCCTACGCCCAATGCTCTTTGCCGTGTCGGCCCAGAGGCCCTGAGGGGTGGCGGCTCGCGTGGCGGGGCGAAGCAGGACTCCAGGCTCTTGACTGGCGAAAGTGCCTCGCGCAGAAAAGTGTTTCTTCCCTTATCCAACGTCCCTTCCCTCCCCTCCTTGTCCTCCTTCTCCTCCTCCTCCTCCTCCTCCTCCTCCTCGACTCCTCCTCCTCTTCCCCCTCCTCCTCCTCCTCTTCCTCCTGCTCCTCCTCCTCCTCCTCCTCCTCCTCTTGCTGCTCCTCCTCCTCCTCCTCCTCCCCCTCCTCCTCCTCCTCCTCCTCCTCCTCCTCCTCCTCCTCCTCCTCCTCCTCCTCCTCCTGCTCCTCCTCTCCTCATCCTCTCCTTATCCCTCCTCCCTTGCCTTCCTCCTCCTCCTCCTCCTCCTCCTCCTCCTCCCCCTCCTCATCTTCCTCCTCTTTTCACCAAATATTCCTCGCCTCGACGGAGGTGCCCTGCAAAGATTTGCTGAAAAGGCGCGGCGCGCCCACAACGTCAACGTGACGGTAGTTCCGTCCGCGCCGGACGGGTCCTGGGGGTACCGGAAAGAAAGATGGAGGGGACAGGAAGGTGAGGGAAAGGGAGGGAAGGGAATGGAGGTATACCGACCCACCTGACCGATACTGTGAGGACGGAGGGGGAGGAAGCAGAGGAGAGAGCGATGGGAAATGGGGAAGGGAGGAGAGGAATCGTGGGAGGAGGCAAGAAACGAGGAGGGGCCCTCATAATAAGCGCCCCCTCGCGGATTGGGAAGAGGGGGAGAAGGGAGGGAGGCAGGGAGGAGGGCGAGAATGAGATGGATAAGATGATGAGGTCGAGGAGATGCGGGGCAAGGCGGGATAAAGACTGGAGACTGCGCCCTTGTCGTCCCTGGGGGACTGCCCAACGCGGGGCTAGGCAGTGGCGCTGACAAATCCTGGCTGGGTCAACGGGTGCCCCGTGTTTGAGTCGCTGTCAATAGTCCTGTGCAAAACATACACACACACTCGTTTTGAATTGCGCCCATAACTCAAAAGCGTAACTATTAATCTCCCATCCTTCCGCAAGCAACATCAACAAATGCTGCCAGACTATCAGCCCAATAAAGCATCGCGTATCACTTTGTCTGCGCAGAGAACTCCACTAAATCCGCCTCTGTCGTGCATAGTCACGCTACTACCATACGGAACGCACCATTTGGGATCTGAAAATGTGTGTCCGCCACAAGCTGCAACATGTTGCAGTCATGGCTGATGTATCGCCCATTCAAATGCTCTAGTATGGTTGGCATCCACTACTCGTGGGCATATTGAGACAGCAATGTGGCGATCGATTGGTTTCCTATGGCGGTAACGCACCACCCAGTCATTGTCGCGGACACAGCCGCAGCATTTGGTTTGATTTTCCAGTTGCGCAACACAGAATGTGGATTGACAAGTTTGGAATACGCAACATAGAAATAAACAATAGCAACATGTGAGTTCGCACGTTTGACAAACACAACATGTGAATTCACACTGTGGACAATCGCGCAAAAGAGTTCCACGCACCCTGCGCGATGGCCCAACACCCTTTGACAGACACCCATGTTCACCCTCCGAAAAATACGAAGTGCCCCTCCCCCGCTTGGCCGCAAAAGCGACTGGGTTCACCATGAAGGCGGGCGGAACGACCACAATTGAAGACGGTGCGTTTGTCGGTGGGGCCACGTACGGAGCTCACGCTGTTGTTGCGGAAGAGGGCTGAGGTGGAATGCAGAAGGCAGGGGGGACCAGGGCAGTCGCAGCATCAGAAAGAGCGGGACAAAGAGAGAGAGAGAGAGAGCGAATGAGAGCAGAGAGAGGGACAGAAAGAGAGAGAGAGAGAGAGAAACCATGATGCTGGCGAGAGACTCAGGCATTTGCAATTGTGAATACCTTTCGGTGGAACTCCCCATGGGGCCACGAAACGTGTGAGGAGTGTGCCGAATGAGTGGCGGGGGCGCATGTGGTCAGAGCCACTGAGGCCTTCGGTGGAGCGCCCTATGGGGCCACGACACATTTGAGGGGTGTGCCGGCATGGGCGGCGGGTCGCGGGAGCGGTGCCCCAACAAAGGATGCCACGATTTCGGGCTTACTCTTTTCCTGAAAAATCGTTTCCAATCAAAAACTCTGTGACCGAAAACTCACATGCGATGGCGCGAATAGGGTCGCAGGAAAAATCAAAGCAGGAATGGGCGCAGCAGGAGTCGGCGGACAGAGGGCGAGAACGACGCTGGCCGCCACGAGGGGGTCCGAGGAGGTCAGATAAGAACCCTGCGCGCCTCATTGGAGGCACTGGCGATTTGTTTACCCCAGGGGGTCAACGCCCGAAGCGACGAAATGTAACGTACCTTGACACCGCCGTCGCGCATAGAAAGTTCGATGGTGAGTCATATAAATTCGGACTGCACGTGTGTGCGTGGCTGAACCTGCAATGCATCTAAATTGAATTCGCTGTTATGGATGAGCTTATACAGATTTGATGTTGCATGTCCACGCCCAAAAAAAAAAAACGCAGGGGAACGGAAGCGACGAGAAGAGCGATCGCCGACCAGGAGCACCCCAACCACGGGAACCGCCTGCACATTCTCCGCGTCGGCACGGGGACGCGCTGCAGCTACCCCCCGCCCTCCCCCCACCCCCATCGCGCGCAGCGGACGAAGAAGGAGCATAGTGAACGAGAACGAAGAGGACAGGAGGAAGGCGCGGGAAAGGGGCGGAGGGAGCGAAGGAGAAGAGACTAGAAGACAAGGGAGGCGCGGTGGGAAGGCGCATTTAGGCTCTTTCAGGCTCTCTTGACAAGCTCTCTTGGGTTCTCTAGGTCTGTCTGAGGGGCCTCGGCGAGGCCCCAGAGGGGGCCTTCCAAAGCCTTCTTCAGGACTGCCTCGGGCTCGCCTCACTAGGGATGCTTATTTGTTGGCGCGGTCGGAGTCGAACTTTGTTGTTTCAAACGCTGAATATGGTCTGCTTGTATTACAACGCTCATCCGAAATATGCAATGCAAAAAAATGCCAGCAGTCTTTGAGGAATCTTTTTTCGTGCGCTCGTTGCGCTCGCGGAGAGGGCAAGGGAACTTCGCATTTCCTCGGAACCGCGTCGCGATTGCGAGGCGCAGGCAGATATCACCAGGAAGCTGCCGCACGATTGTGGCGCACAAAACCCGATAACCAAGGCCCCAAGAGGGCTCCAAGAGGGCTCCGAAAGGCCTCCAATGGCAGTGAAAATGAAGCCACGCGAGCACCCATGCGCGCGACAGAACTTTCACTCCACTTGGGGGCCTTTTGGAATCCTTTCTGGGGCTCTATTTGCCCTTTCTGGGGCCGTTAGGGACGCCTGCGTGGTCCAAGAAAAGCCCCAGAGGGCCCCCAAGAGGAGCGAAAGTTAAGTCATGCGAAAGGGCGCCTGCGTGACATCACTTCCTCTACTCTTGGGGGCCCCTCGGGGCCCTCTTGGGGCCCTCTCGGGGCCTCTGGGGCCGTCTAGGAGCTCTCTTGGGGCTATCCTGGGGCCATTCTGGAACACTCTTGGGGCACTCCTGGCGCCCTTTTAGGGCCCCCGCGGTAAAGTATATCATACGTCCGTTTCACATCCTCCACCGCGGGGGAGGGCCCAGGCGCGTCTAAGGCCCCCAGGGGCGTGTCTTGGGGCCTCCGAGGCCCTCCTGGAGCCCTCTTGGGATCCTCTTGGGCCTTCTTGGAGCCTTCTTGGAGCTACTCCACCGCCAACGGCACGACATGCATAGACTGACCGTTCCATGACAAGGCAAGGCCGTGGGGTTGAACCACCCCACCCGCGAAGCTGGGCACTTCAGGAAAAATCCTCCGGCCTCAAGGCAGGGCAGTTGTGGCCAAACCCTTCCAGCCATGAGGCCAGAAAGGTGCCCCCTCCCAAAATCTTGGCTACGATGTTCAACATCCGCCCCCACGATTTTGGCTACGATTTCGAACATCCGCCCCTGCGATTTTCAAACTACCCCACTACGATTCTGGCTACGATTTTCGAAGTCCACCCCTAAGATTTTGATTGCGGGGTCCGCGAGCCGCCAGCACGATTTTGAAATGAGGCCCTGGGCCCAGAGAGAAAGATTTGCGTTACAAGCTGGCGCCCGATCCAACACGATTTCCCAAACAATACTGGCCGACGATATTTTCGTGGGGATGTCTCAGGCAAGTCGCCCCGACAAATCGCATTGCAAAATCGTGTGCAAAATCGTCGTCAGTTTTGTGCTTCTCTGGGGAGGGCCCAAGGAATTCTGAAGTACCACATCAACAAATGCTCACCCTCATCCTCCCTCCGCCAGCCGTTCCTCCTCCGATCCTTCCCCTCAAAAACATGCCGTCGGTGAAAGGTCCCCGAACGAATGAATCACTAAACCACAACCGCCGTTCAACGCACCAAGAGACCGTGGCCGTCGTCGCCGCCGTAATGTTCGTCATCGTCGTCACGCCCCTTGCTCTTGTCGTTGGGACGCTCGCCGCCGTTGTCGTGATGTTCGCCCTCGTCCTCGTGGCGCTCGCCGCGTTAGTCGCCGTAGTACTCGTCGCCGCCCTCGTCGTAGTGCCCATCGGCGTTGCCGTCGCAGCGTTCGTTGTCGTCGTCGCAGCGCCCGTCGTCGTCGGCGAAAAACTCGATGGCGTCGTCATCGCAATGCTCCGCGTCGCCAATGTCGTCGTCACGCTTGCCATCGTCTCGGCAACGCTCGTCGCTGTCGTCGCCGTCGTAACGCTCGTCTTCGTCGTCGTCGTAACGTTCATCAACGCCGCCGTCGCAGCGCTCGTCGCCGCCGTCGCCGCATTGCTCGTCAATGTCGCCGTGACCGTCGTCGCCGTTGCGATCCGAACGCTCGTGCCCGTCGTCGCCGAAACCCTTTGTCGCCGTCGTGGTCGTCGTAACGCTCGTCATCGTCGTTGTAACGTTCGTCGGCGTCGTCGTACTAAAGTCTGTCGTCGGATAGCCGGCCTCCTCAGGACCGGGCGCGAAGGCAAATACCCCTCAGTGGAGAAACCAGATATCCTCCTGTGATTGTCTGATTCCCGGGAACCTCTTGGAAAATCGGTGCTGGAGACGCGCGAAGTATGATGACGAGGCACCTGGAGGCCCACGCGGTCCCTGGGGAGATTCACGGGGGGATCGTAGTGATCAGCACAAGACGAAGGACCATGACGTTCTGCGCGCATGACTAACCGTTGCGGTATAGTCGCGTTTTTTCGCCAGCCTTTCCTTTGCACCCCGCTTGCCCTGCACAACCCCCAAGGAACATGTCTGGGAGGAGCTGATGAAGGCGTTTCCTGCTTCACAAGTCAAAGGGAAGCCGCAGCGCAAGTACGGATTATGCGAACCCTTCATGTCCCACCCGTTTCGCTACCCGCGCGCACGCAAAACAAGTTGTGGAAAAGTTGCGAGTATTTCCTGTTTCAAAAGCACCAGTACGTTTGTTGAACAATCGCGGTATTCTATCATGATCCCTCCTCTCCGCTCTTTCTGACGCTCTCTGCCCTCAGTGCAGCACCTTTGGCATCAGTGTGTGTTCCTG